GTTTTCCATTGGATCTTTTGTATTTGTCTTGTCATTACATTGGATATTTTTCATTTGTCATTGTCTTCCATTTGATCTTTTTACCTGTTCATGTTTTACCATAGGGTCTTTTTCATTTGTCCTTGTCTTTCTATTGACTGCAAGAGAAAGACAAATTTGACTGCATTTTTTCATTTGTCTTTGTAATTCCATTGAATTTTTCGTGGGTCTTTTTTCGATTTCATTTTTGCCTTGAAAATGTCGGAAGACGAAACGCGTCGGCAAAATGTAAGATTTTTGCCAATTGTCATTTAATACCAATCTGTCCTTGTCCACAGAATTCATCTGGGAATTTAACTATATATAATACTAATGTTCACCCAATACAAGGCCAAAGAGCAACTCAAGGTAGCGGGTTATCGTGTGGAGTTGCATTGGTATCAGAAAGGGCAAGATAACAGGAAACGTAGACTGCTAATTGTAGACATGAATAAGTCATGATTTAATTAGCAAATAAAATTTCAAAGTTCAGAATGAGACGTTAGTAGTATAGAGTTAAATTAGACCGGAAGACCAATCCTAACCAGGAAACGTTGGATGAACCTCTCGTGCTGTTTAAAACATCGTGGGAGAGTATTAACTAGACGATAGGAAAACCTGTCTAGTCCTATTGGTGAGTGAGAAAAAAATAAACAGTGAAAAATAATCCAGATTTCAGGCTGAGATATTCTTCCTTGTTTTTAAATCTTTCATTTCCGTTGTTTTCTTTCTTAATCTTTCTTTATTACTGATTTCTTTTTTTTTTCTTTCTTTCTTTCTTCTTCTTCTTCTTCTTCTTCTTCTTCTTCTTCTTCTTCTTCTTCTTCTTCTTCTCAGAATCATCTTTTTCTCCCCGTCAACAGTTTCTTCTTATTCTCCTCCGCATCATCATATTCTTCTTCATCTTCATCTTATCATCAGTTTCTTTTTTTTTGTCATCATCAGCTTCTATTTTCTAATTCTTTCTCCTCCTCTTAACATCACCTCTTTTTCTACTTCTTTTTCTCATCATCTTCTTATTATTACTACTTATCGACATCAACATCTTCTGCCTCTCATCATCAGCAGTTTTTTTCTTCTCATCATCAGCCATTCCGTCTTCTTCCTTTTTTAGATTTTGTTTCTTTGTATTTTATTGCTGTCTAGTTTTTTTTCTCGCACTTCCATTCGCAGTTATTCTTTTCCTGTAAATATACATACATAGAGAGAGATCAAAAGGAGTGTAATCCCGTACGCAATTGTACGTAACATTCAATTTAAAAGAGGGATCAATAAGTAGAGATAAATATTGTTTAATTTACGATATTAAAACATGATAAAAATCGGTGTATAATTGCAATTATATTTCAAAATTAAAAATGTCTCTCCACGTGTGATGTTAAACTGTACTATTAATATATATATATATATATATATATATATATATATATATATATATATATATATATATATATATATATGTGTGTGTGTGTGTATGTGTCTATTTATATATTTATATGTATATATATATATATATATATATATATACATACACACATATATATATGCAGTGTGTGTTTATATATTTATATGTGTGTGTGTGTATGTATATACACACACACAACACACACACACACACACACACACACATATATATATATATATATATATATATATATATATGTATATATACCATATATATACCATGTGTAACAGAAAAATTGTCCAAATGGTGTAACTACAAAATTGTCCAGTTGTTACATTAAGTTTTGAACCGTTTTATATTAGAAATGATTAAAGATAGCTTACTGGAATTCTCCGAGGTTTTGAAAGCTCAGTTGGACTCTACTTTGAACCATAAGAATGTATTTAGCTCTAAGTTGAAATTTAAGTGCATTACTAGACTGCCGTCAAGATCACATCAATTTAACACTGAACTGGCTAGTTGCAGCCGCATGTTGTATTCTAACACTTTCTTTTCTCACATTTCTCGCTCGTATAACTGCATTTGGAATCTGTTACACGATTTGGACAATTCTGCTGGTAAACTCAGTGTATATATATATATATATATATATATATATATATATATATATATACACAAAATATGCTGTCATATATATAGCCTGGAGACCGCGCTGTTCGTTTCGCGACCCAATCCAGAGCCTGATATGCAATGTGATTGGTCCTGTTCTGGCATCTCCTCTGCAGTTACTTTCTCAAAGACGTGATGTGGCTTCCCTTTGTCTTTTCTACAAATATTTTCATGCCAACTGTTCTGATGAGCTACTTTAGCTGGTTCCCAAAAATGAATTAAACCTGCTATCAGGTTGTCATCCCGGTCCCAGGCTTTCACTGCTGAAACGATGTAATGTAGCAGTCACTTCAACTCAAAAAACTTCATGTCTCGCATTTCCTGTTTGTGGAACTCACTTCCTCTTACTTGCTTCCCTAATAGCTATAAACTTCAATTATTCAAAGCATGATTTATTAAGTGATTTGTCTTCTTATTATTCCACATTCTGTTCTCCCATAGCTGGGAGGTTAGCATGTGGATTCATGACTTTTATCATCAAGGGTTTTTGCAGGTAAGCGGAATTCGAAAATGACTCTCAGAATTTATTGATAAAACCACTCGCACAACTCACAGATTACAGAACATGAGTAAGTTCAACTTTCCTTATCTTCGGGGGATCGAAATCGAATAAGTATTTCAACCTGATATTGCCGTATGCCATTAAGAAAAGTTTGAATATCGTTTATAAAATTAACAACCGAAAATATCCCGATTTCTAATGATTTTATTCCAGTCACTTGACATTGATAAATTATTTATGTATTTGTTTCTCTCTATTCTGATTAATTTAGACATCGCTTCTTCGAGATTAGTTTCTATTTCATGCCTCACTTTATATATATATATATATATATATATATATATATATATATATATATATATTATTATTAAAAATAGTTTTATTATAATAGTTTAAAAGATTGAAATAAAAACATTTTACATCGCTACACAAAACTTTACTGTTTCAGAACTATAATAGTAGATAGATGCTAGATAGCATAAAATACAAATGCTTATTTGTGAAATTTGAAAAGAAATAGTTTACTCATTTGAAAGATAAAAAAGAGGGAAGGTAAAGCCCTAATATATATATATATATATATATATATATATATATATATATATATATATATATATATATATATATATATTAAATGTGCTATGTTTATGGAATGAAGTGCTCAATATCAGATATGGAGCGTATATAAATATAAAAGTGAATGGTGAAGTCAACACTCAGAGGCGTCAGGCTGTTTCATGCTAGACGCAATCATCACATTGCGAGTGTTGGATTTTTCTAGAATATTTATATGTATGATTCAGTGTTGCATTTTGGGTAATCGATTCTTGTGGTTATTTTGGCTTGAGTGGCTTGTTTATTTATGAATTTATTTATTTATTTGGTATAATTTGTTTTACTTGTTTTTCATTTTCATTTTTTTTATATTTCGGTTTTCGATGTTTTATTAAAGTAGTAAAAATTATAATTAGTTAGAAGAGACGTAACAGAACAAATAAAAATAAAAAATAAATACATAAAATACAAGTAAACATAATCAATCCAATAAATAAAGTAAACAATAAACAAATTAACAAATCAATAATCGTTGGAATAGATTACAACAATCAATCCAAAAATTTAACGAGAATGTAGCGATAACGACTATATAAAGATAAAAAAAAATCAAAAACTGAATATATTGAATAAAAATATACAAAAATTAGGAAATAAATAAGAAAAAAATGAATCCTAATAGATAAATAAATTAACAAAACGCTCCCGCTACAATAACTGTTAGAATTAATAAAAATAAAGATACATAAGCAAAAACAAGTAAAAATAGTCAATCCAAATGAATAAAAAAAATAAAATAACAAGCAAATTAAAAACTGTCTACCGCCAAAATAGCAATAGACAACGGCAATCAATCCAAAAATTGAACCAATAAATAGATTTATCTTCCCAGTCCAAAACAAAATATTAAATAAATAAATAAACAAGCCACTCCTGCCAAAATAACCGCCAGAATGGATTACCTACAATGCACCCCTAACCTCTATATATATATAAATAGTCGAGAAAAATCCAACACTCGCGGCCTGACGATTGCGTCTCGCATGAAATAGCTTGTCGCCTCTGAGTGTTGACTTCAATGTTCACTTTTATATATATATATATATATATATATATATATATATATATATATATATATATATATATATATATATATGTATGCATTCTTAATAGAAAACTTATAAGTATAAGAAACTGTACTCGCTAGGAAAACCTTCAGTATATTGATTTGCAAATAAACAAGCCAACACCAAAGGGAAAAAAAGAAAGAACCAAGAACATGTACGTTAACCGAAAATAATCGTCCAGCATACGAGTTCAAGACCCAAAGAAAAAAAAACCGATGCGAGGACCCAAAACAACTAAATAAAGTGCTCAATACAATGAGTAGAGCAGACCTAGTTTAAACCTAGAGAGCCAGTATGTGTGTGTATCTATATATAAACATATATACATGTGTAAAAATATATATGTTCGTATGTCTGTGTATAAGAGAGAGAGAGAGAGAGAGAGAGAGAGAGAGAGAGAGAGATAAAGAGATAAAGTAATTGGTTGTCTGTTTTGTTTAGCGGCATATCAACAGGTATGGATTATTTGATGGCGAAATCTAAATATAAAAATTCAAACTATACTTAATTAAAAAAGAATGGAATTATTTAATGATTAAATTATAATTAATTGACAACTTTTTCCCCTTACAAGAAAGGAGTGTAATAATAGCAATTGTTTGTTTGTTTATTTTTTTGGTTTTTTTTTAATTTTAATGTTCGTCATAGGGACCCAATAATAGTTGATGTACCTTACATAGAGTAAATATTGAAAAGTATAGAAAGCAATAGTCTTACTTCTCGGATGATCGTCAGTCTCTATAATAATGATGGACGTTTCTTGCGTGCTTCTATTGTGAGCGAATTTTAATACAGATGTCTAACCGTACTTAGAAAGCTTTGCGCCGATTTCTACTGTTGGCGGTCCAACAATTCGTGTTCTGGCAATGCTGAAAGAAAAGGTTTCTTTCAACGTTGTAGTTGACTTGTTACACGCCGACAGCCGAATTGTGTGTGAGTCGTAATTGTGTAGATCAATCTTTTATGTTCTCTCGTCTGAAATATTGTAAGCATTCACAGGAGCCAAGAATGACATCAATATGCTTGAAGCTTCTGTCATATAAAGAGTCGTGTAGGTGACCATCTATCTATCTATTTATATATCTATCTATCTATCTATCTTTGTTACCTTTCTTTCTTTCTTTCTTTCTTTCTATCTATCTATCTATCTATCTATCTATCTATCTCAGTCTCGTTATATCTGTCTATCTATCTATCTTTCTCAGTCTCGTTATATCTATCTATCTATCTATCTATCTATCTATCTATCTATCTATCTATCTATCTATCTATGTTTATTTCCTTTCTTTCTATCTATCTATGTTTCTCAGTCTCGTTATATCTATCTATCTATCTATCTCAGACGCTTTATATCTATCTATCTATCTATCTATCTATCTATCTATCTATCTATCTATCTATCTCAGTCTCGTTATCTCTCTCTATCTATCTATCTTTCTCAGTTTTGTTATATCTATCTATCTATCTATCTATCTATCTATCTATCTATTGTAGTATGTTCCTTTTCTTGATATCTATCTATCTATCTATCTATCTCAGACGCTTTATATCTATCTATCTATCTATCTATCTATCTATCTATCTATCTATCTCAGACGCTTTATATCTATCTATCTATCTATCTATCTCAGTCTCGTTATCTCTCTCTATCTATGTTCATTTTCTTTCTATCTATCTTTCTCAGTCTTGTTATATCTATCTATCTATCTATCTATCTATCTATCTATCTATATATATATATATATATATATATATATATATATCTATTGTAGTATGTTCATTTTCTGCATATCTATCTATCTATCTATCTATCTATCTATATATATATATATATATATATATATATATATATATATATATATATATATATATATATCTATCTATCTATCTATCTCAATTTGTTCATTATCTTATGACATTCCACTGTAGAAATATTGGTATCTTCAAACAATCTTTTAGCATAGATATTTCACTGTTCCACTTAGTGCATGATCTATATGTCGGTCATCTAGTGAGGAAAATGATGTGTTCCCTCAATCTTTTAACCTATAGATTCCATCGATGAAGGGAAAAAAATAGAAGCATCAGAAGAATACTGAAACTTCTATGAACGGAACGAGTAAGCAGCAGGGGATTCTTACAAGAAAATTGCAGCAGAATGAACACTTATACTCAAAACCAGGAAGATACAGCTGAAATTCCTTCGATGTATAATGAGAAAACTTTTACTGTGCATATTTAGGCCAAGACATATAGGAGAAGGCGGAGATCAGTCATGATGGCTGATTACTGTTGGACATTGAAGAGAGACACCTCTGACGCTGATCATTTTAAAGGTTCAAAGAAACGGAATTTCAAGCCCTGAATTTTGAACAATGATGACGTAACATTTAATTTACATGTACTTACATTTATTAACTACAATGAATCATTCATTCATTTGCTTACGGAATAGCAAAAGTTAAGAAGGTTCAGTCATATTCTAACTGAGAAAACCAAGGTAAATTATGGAAGATGCTAAATGAAGTATTTTACCTATTTTTGTTTATTAGGCATTTGTCAGGCCTAATAAACAAATTCAATAAATACGGTTATTGTTGTATTTTATATTTTCTTATGTTTATATATAAAACAACCTCAGGTCCGTTGTTAACTCAGGGAAAATTTGCTTGTTAATTTTAATTAAACGTCTCTACATTAAACATCTGAGAGACTCCCCGCTGCCTTTCCTCATTATGGTTGATGGTAAACTCCAGGAAATCTTCTCAGTGTTACGTTCTCTGCTGATGTAAATTGGAAAGACTATACTGAATCCATTGCTAAGTCAGCTGCTAAAAAATCGGTTCACTGTGTCTGGAGAGATAATTTTTCTTAGATATCTATATGTCTACCATCCATCCATGTTTAGAATATCGTTGTCACATATGTTCAGGTGCCCCTAATATTTACCTTGATCTCCTTGATAAAAATCCAAAGAAGAATCCGCAATATTATTGGTCCTGATATGGTGCCTCGGTTTCAGTCATTTTCCCACTCTATGTATTTTCTATGAATAAATAAATCTTTCGTGATAATTGTTCCGTACCTAAGTTTTTTTTTTGTTGTTGTTTTGTTTTCTTTAATTTAAGCGCAGTATTAAACCGGTGTCATGATCTGCTCAATTTAGAGTTGATCGGGCTAGTTGTAACTGTAAATTATATGTTGTTTCTTTTCTCACACTTCTCGCTTGAGGAAATCCTTTCCGGCTCCATGATTGCCAGCCAACTTTGATCTTCAAAAATTTAAATTCAATGGCAATCGCTATCTACCGTCCTCCTGGTCAGTCTTTTTTTCTCTTTCTGTTCATCATTATAGTTTCCGTTGCTAATTCCTCAACGCCATATAACCTCCTGTTTTTTTTTATGACATTACCTTAGCATTGGGTGTTATTAGATAAAGAAATAAAAAAAAAACATATTTATTTATTTACTCATTTTTTTATATTAATATTATGATTAATTAAAATTGTATTTTAATTGGATGAACTAAATTATATTAAATAACAGAAAATTTTGAATTAACCTTTTTCTTGTAATTTTCATCCTGATTATGAGGATAATGTACCTCCGACAGCAAGGCCTCTGATTGGATGTTTTGAAAAGTGTGGAACCACCTCTTAATTGCTGTTGTTCTTAGGCCCACCCTGATCCGTGGTGTTAGCACCTGTTTGGGTTCCAGCTATGGGCAAATAGTTAACACCCAGACTGGGTTCAAAACACTACGAAAGTATAAAAATATATTTCTATTGTAAAAATACCATCAATACATCTTCATAGTAAAAAAAAAAAAAAAAAAAAAAATTGCCCACAATACATTTTTGAAAAAAACAAAAACAAATTAACAACAATACATTTTTGTAAAGAAATTTTCTAACGCTCCCAAGAAAATTACATTTCAGCTTTAAATAACACATAAAAAGCTGACGTGCCGCTAAACAAACAGACAACATTCTTTTAATTTAAAAAGAAAAGATAGTCATATATGTTGCCTTGCATGAGGTACATTTCTTTTAGTTTTCTTTCTGTTTTACGATATACAAAACCGATTAAAAGCGGAAATGACGTAGTTAAACGGAAATATCTTGAGAATGCTGTATCGAGTTTTGCGAAGGTGTTAACGTACACCTTGGACATTTAAAATATTTACTTTCTTAAAAGCAATATAGTTTTTCCCTAGCCAACATACATGGCCATGATATTTTCTAAAAAATGAAAGAAAATATATAAATCAAAACCTTCAGTGGGCAACCAAAATATTTTTTAAGATGTCAGTACTTCCTAATTAATTAAAACAATTTTTCACCTCTGAATCCGAAAATGACGGCCGTTTCTCTCGACAAAGTCAGGTTTTTGTGCTAATAAAGATCTGATATTCTGACTGAATAGAGTACATTTTTGTTGCATTATCGATTGAATTTTATTAATATTTCTTATAGCAAATAGTTTTTAAGAGAAAAAAGGATTTCTAACACAATTTATAATTATATATTAGAAAGATCAATTACAATGAATTGAATAGTATACATTTTCGTCTCTGATACTACCTGGATTTACTAAAAACAAAATAATTTCCATGCCTGAGGATGACTGAATCGACAGTTGAAAGAACTTGCAGATTAAAAAAAAACCTTATACAGTTTGTAGTTATTAAAAACAAGGATCATAACATTCATCGAGTGCTTCATAGGTTAATGCAACTTTCAAATTTTGTTTGCGAAGAGATTTCACCATTTTATATCGTTAACATTACTAATCTACTTTTTGTATGAATGATTCATTATAATATAAATTGAACTGCACCACATATTTGATTTTAAAGAACTGATCCGACGTGTAAATGTTCGGGATAACAACTGAGACATTTCTCTATTTATTGAACATTTTAGTTCATGCCACATTGACTGATATACTCTTACAAGAAAAAATTCTCAAATTACCATATTAGTAAAAAAAACACTCTCTTAAAATTTCAAAGAAATTCAACCTTAGCGTTACGACTGCACGCTCGAAAAGTTTTTATCCGTTAGCAATAACACATTTCTAAAGAAAACAAATCGTTTCGCATTTAATTTTTCGTCTCTGATGCTACCTGGATTTAATAAAAACAATATAGTTTCCATGCCTGAGGATGACTGAATGTACAGTTGAAAGTACTTGAACATTTAAAAAGACCTTATACAGCTTGTAGTTATTAAAAACAAAGAGCATAACATTCATCGAGTGGTTCGTATTTTAATGCAACATTAAACTTTTGTTTGCCAAGTGATTTCGCCATGTTATATCATTAACATTACTAATCTACTTTTTTTATGAATGATTCATTGTAGTTATTAAATGTAAATAGATGTAAATTAAATGTTACGTCATCATTGTTCAAAATTCAGGGCTTGAAATTCCGTTTCTTTGAACCTTTATAATGATCAGCGTCAGAGGTGTCTCTCTTCAATGTCCAGCAGTAATCAGCCATCAAGACTGCTTCCCAGCGTCCCTGTTAACTAGTTTTTATCTCTTTCATGTCCTGATGTAATCTCTCTTCCTGTTCGTCGCTCGTTAAACACAGAATCTTAGGAAACCGATCCATATATAAGAAGAAATAATGCACTTTGATGCTCATGTTGCATCCGAGGTTTCTGAAAGCAATGAGCACATAGATGACAAGTTCTGCGTATTTCCTGGCATTGTTGCCAAGAAAGTTCTTCACGACCAGAACAAAAGCCAATTCTTTCAGTTTCACTTCGCACATTGATCTCTGAAGAGCTGATGGATTTGAGAAGCACCAAAGATGGCAGCTTTCAACCTCTTCAACGGCAATCTTAGAAAAGCCTGGCACCGGTAAGTGAAGCAGCCGCCATCCTAGTCCAGAGCTTTGGTGACCTGCTTGATCAAGCCGAGATTGATCAGTGCAACGGTGGCAATAATATCCTGTCTCTATCCACCGGAGGCTTATTGACGACGTTCGTGGATCTGCAAAGCATCAATTGCTTTTTTCGTGTAATTCTGAGCAGTGTCCATACCTCAAATGCACAGAAATATGTTTACTTAGTAAAGTGGACTGTTGCCCCAACAAAATGTTCACAATCTTCAGATCAACGCAAATAAACAACTCATGCTAATCATAAATAATTCTCTCCAGTACAGACTTCCCTGATTCATATTTCTCCTTCAGTGTAGTTGATTGAGAGAGCAGTACAGAGGCAAACTGGTTGACATTGTGCGGAACAACACTTTTCAATGATCGCTTTCTGCCTTCAATGAACAGGCTCCAATCTTTGGATTCGCACCGTGTCACTCCAATTTTGTCCTGAAGCTGCGCAGTTTTTATACAGGCCACCAAGTCCTTCACTTCAGAGACAAAAAAATGGATGTTCTCTTGATGCCTGTTGCTATAGAAGCTGTGGCGACCACTGAGAGAGATAAGATTTTTTTTCTTCCTGGATGTCAACGGTTCGAGATAGGACTTTGACAAGCTGATATTGTGAACAAGATCATTTATATATATATATATATATATATATATATATATATATATATATATATATATATATATATTTATTAAAGACATTATTATGTTTAACGTTCTTTTTATAGATACAAGTATTTAAATAAATACTCTGTTTATAATAAACAGTAAAATAACATTTCCTGTCCTGAATGTCCGAGAAATTTTCATAGAAAATATTCGTCCTTTGACAAGGACGAACCTTTTCCTATACGGAACCGTCATTTACGCTGATGTGCCTTGACCGCTCGTAAATGTTATTTAATACTGTTTATTATAAACAGAGCATTTACTTAAATACTTGTATTTATAAAAAAGAACGTTAAACATAAAATGTCTTTTAATAAATAAATTGTCGGACTTTGTCCATTTCTTAATATATATATATATATATATATATATATATATATATATATATATATATATGAATAGAAAATAAATTATTTACTCACTTGCGTTAACGAGGCATTATATTACTTCATTTAGATCTAATGGAACTGTTTCGTTACTTTGACGTATTTAGGAAGAATATTAGATTGTACTGTCAGCAAACCGGCTGCATACGGATAAAAACTGCGTCTGCGTTCAGCAGATATACCAAAGTAGCAAGGGTTGTAAGACGAGGGTGCGTTTTCTCAACTTATACAGCGAGACAATCTGAAAGAACAAGCAGACCTTCCAGGATTCATTATTGGTGGCCACAATCTTCCCAACATAATATATGCAGATGATACAGTGTTTATAGCGTACACTGAAAGAAAACTATAAAAGCTCCCGCTGAAGGCAGTGAAAGAACGCGTGAAGAAAGGTTTAAACATCAAACGCAAGAAGACAGAATGCAACGTTGTTTGGAAAAAGATGAGCCCAAATTATTGCAAATCGGAGATGTAAAAATCAGATATGCACAGAAATTTAAATATCTAAGTGTTTTAACAGAGGACGGAAAGTGTAACACTGAAATCCGAAAGCGTATTGGAATAAGCCTCCGACTTTGTGCAGAATCTGCGCATTATCTGTACAGTACATCAAGCCCTTCTCTTCAGAGAGAAAAAACGGAGGTACTCTTGATATCTTTTGCGGTAGAAGGTTAGGCGAGCACTTTCAGAGAGGAGTTTTCTTTTTCTCCTTCAGTTTGGATGTCAACAGTTCAGGATAGGACGTTGACAAGCTGAGATAGCGAACACGATCATTTAAATCCTTTTGGGAAAAAAGGATGTTGAATATTATCGTCAAAAAATACTTCTTCATTTTCATAATACTGGAGAAATCTTCCTCATATCAGGAAGTTCTCTAAAGACAGGTATTGGAACTTCATCCTAAATGAGCTAAGGACGAACTGATTCAAGATCAGGATAACTGAGGATGCTCCGGTCGTTTCTACTGATCCCCAGTCACATCAATAGCATAGACGTAACAGTCAGTTCTATCGCTTGTTGGCTCCGTCTTAAGCATAGAAATTCCAAACTTCAGGCAACTCTTATTGTTCTTGGTGCACCGACACAGATACTCGGCACATGTCTTACATAACATGTGTGGCGTCCAAGCTTTATCTTGGTCACCAAGTTTAATACCAAAATAAAAAATTAAGCATGCTGTATGAAACTTGTGACTGGATTCATGTTAGAAACAATCGTGTATTCGCCTCAGATGCAGCAGAATACGTCGGGCTTATTTTTACAAGGTTTTCTGGTTGAAGCCATTTCTTTCACCTGTAAAATGAAATAAAAACATACCAGTTAGACATAAATAAGTACATTTATCTATTCAGAGTTGGTTTTTAGCGAGATATGCATCGTATAAAGCGAAAATGTTGTAGAAATCCTTCTACACGGGTCTTATTCAAACGTTGCAAAGTGGAGTGTCGAGATTTGATACAGTAATAGAAAATGATGCGGGCTGCTCGTAATTTAACCTTTTAAAACAATCCCCCGACGTTCATTAAAAGAATAAAATCATGTATAATAATACGATATATTGTTATGAAATAACATTGATATTATATAAAAAGAAATCAAGCTAGAATATACAAATGTATTGAATGAACAATGTCTTTTTTCTGGTCGTAAAAATTGTGTATAGTACAAACTGTATTGCGTACCTATGTGAGAAAGGTGAAATGTCGTTACTAGTGTGTTTGCGTAAAGTATTATGTGTATGCATACCTAGTAGTAATGGGTATAATGTGACGGCACTGGTGTCTGAAGGTGGTCACTTTGAGTTTTTGTTATTCCTGCGAGTCGTTTCTTGATAGTGTGTGTGGAAGCGAATAAGGTTCGAATACCAGTAGTTAGAGTGACATGTCCCTCAGTGGAATCTGAGAGAGTCTGTCCTTGTGGTCAAACACCGTGATTTTTATACCGTTAATCCTGAGAAATTGGATCCAGAATTATATATTTTTACTCATTTCTAATTGGCCGTAAATGTTGCGTGGTGTGTTTACTACAATGTCCGTGTGATATTTTGGTTGCATACCTTATTTATAATGGCTAAGAAAACAAACTTTCTGATTTGTTTTCTATGGTTGTATATTGTATAATTTAATTGTTATGCTTTGAGATGTAAGAATTTCTTCTGTGGTATTAGTTTATAAATTTTTTGGAGGCCTGTTTGAATATTTATATAGCTATTTTTGGCTAGAAATAATTTAATATTTTAAAAGTTTATAATTAACATAATAATTAGTTTTATTGTGTGAAATATGTTCCATATTTAGTAAGTTATGTGCGTTTTGCATTCAGCACATCAAATATGTCCTAAATCAGCAAAAAGGAATTGCTCTAAACGAGTATTATACGTTTTTCGATCGCTACGAAGAGAAGAAAGCTTGGATGTGGAAAACGTTGTTTAATAATAATTAGATTCAAGACTCTTCGAAAAAAATGATCACAAAATTAACAGAAATATGCCAGCTACATAATTTTCAACTTATTGCAAATAATTGTGGCGAAGATTCATTTTATAGTTTTTTTTTTTTTACCTTTTATTGGAAACTACCAATGATGGAAGTGGAAGATGTGCTTTGTTAACTGCATTTTGGAATTAAAAATATATTAGTAGTATCGTAATTTCCCACCTGATGAAACGTTCTTTTTCTTAACGTCGAAGCAAGATGTACAGTTTTGTAGTGGATAAGTGCATGTTCTAATGTAACACTGCGTAATATATAAGACGAGAACAGCCTACCCCCGTACTAAAATAAACAATTTTAGTTCAGAATTTCCTGTAGTTTAACCAGATCGATATAAAATTGATGAACACCGAAGATCACAACGATGACGATAATAATCCAAATGTAAATAATGTAAATACATAAAGGTCTGTTACCACCGTTATTATAATAGTGAATATAATTTCTAGTTCTCCTGCGAGGGCAGTTTATTCACTATCATCCTTGACATTTTTTTTTCTCGGAAAAATCTAACTTAAACCTTTATAAGTCTACAATTCACCCATGCATTGGATGTTGATATCTCTTATGGTCTGGTTCTCAAGTAATATATTAAAAAATTCTTTATATTATTCGGACTATTGTCCTCATCTTTGTTGTTATATTTATCACAACGTATCGGCCGTCTTCTTCAGGTGGTTGGAATATTGAACTGAACGCTTTATTTCGCTCGCTGGGGTAGACTGTTCTAGTAACACTTGCCATGTCAAATGGATGTCATTTATCAGTTATCTCCTGTTAATTAACCTCTCCAAGTACTCCACTGCCTTAACCAGGTATTGAACTCACAACTCTTTCGGTCCTGTCACTGGATCTAACCAGCGCCTTTATCCCCTGTGCCATGTGTCCTTTGGGAGCGAGCGAAGTAAAGGGTTCAGTTCGACATTCCAACTGACATCCATTAGACATGGCACGTGGACCTAGAAACGTTGTGATAAATATGACAACAATGACGAGGACAATAGTTCGAATAATATAAATAGTGTACATAATACCACATCTCAGAAATATTGACAAAAAAAATTCTACCCTCATAAATTATAAATAAAATATAGACAAAAATATAAACTCATAAAACAACTTGTTACACTTGTGAAATTGATAGCAGTGTACATTACCTCTGCCATCTCTGCCACAGCCACAAGAGGTGAACAAATGAATAAGAAAAGAGGATAACGATGCCGATTCTAGGATGTGAGCCGGTGCCGACAAGACCTTAATTGATTGGGTGTTATATCAGTGCATTTACATAGAAATAGCACATATTTCGTTTTTATGTTATCTCCTGTTAATTCACATCTCCAAGTTCAGTTCCACATTCGACCACCTGAGGAAGGCTAGAGTAAACTCATACACATTTGAAAAACCCACAACATTCACAACAACGTGGACGAAATAAATGGTTCGGTTCGAACTTCCAACATATATCACCAGAATAATGCCGGAGCGTACAAAGATCGAACCGTTATGATTATGACAATAAAGATGAGGACAAAAGTCCGAACAATGTAAATAGTCTAAATAGTTACAATATATCATCTCAGAAATATAGACAGATTCTGAACAAGACCGGAACGTACAATGGCCGAAACGTTGTGAATATGCCAATAAAGATGAGGACAACAGTCCGAACAATGTAAATAGTCTAAATAGTTACAATATATCATCTCAGAAATATAGACATATCCTGAAGAAGGCCGGAGCTTACAACGGCCTAAACATCGCAAATATGAGAATAAAGATGAAAACAACAGTCCGAACAATGTAAATAGTGTAAATGGTTTTCTTTCTCAGATACTGTCACACTGATTAACTCCTTGTATCTTAGCGGCTTCATCTCCTTGCTTTGGGTAAAATGATTGAAAAAAAAAAAATTAATCGCATTATGTACCTTGATGACATAATCGATCAAGAATGTGGCAAAGCATAGGCGATTTTATTTTCTAATCAGAGAAACTGGACCCTTAGCGAAGATGATTAATTCTTCCATGCTTACAGCGTCGATAGAGAAACAGAAATATAGCCTCTGGGATATTTGACGAATATATTTGACATCAATTCAATTGTAACCGATATTCACCAAAGTTTCCTATATTTAGAACATCTTGGATTAGATTTTTTAGAGTCATTGATTGAGAAGAGGGCGAATTCCTTTCTTGGCTCGACTCACCCGATTCAACGATCAAAGACTCCCGGTGGCATCAATCCAGCACCTACCGATAGCAGAGAACGAAAAATAAGAAAACCCACATCAACAATGCAAATAGACTAACATTGTATTTTTAGTCGAACGTCATCTGCTTCTTGTGTAAAATGCCAGAAAATGTCCGTCAATGAACTACCAAATGTCAATGGAAATGTTCTTTCTGAAAATATCTTGTATTTCCAAAAGAAATAAATTCATAGGGCCATATCACGTCGAAACACCGGCTATCGTATGATCACCGAAATTAAGTACAGCCGAGACGGGTCATTAACGAAATGAATGGTGAAACGCCTACCAATACAAGGTGCCTGGATGCTCATGTGGTAGAATAGATATTTGAAATCGCTGAGCGGATCTCCAATTGCAGTCGTGTTCGTTTTATACAGTTATGAGCAAACCCTCTTGAAAAAGGTATGCATTCCAGCTATGGTTGAATTAGTAAGACGTGTACCATCAAATGATTATTATCTAAATTGATTTTTTACAATCTAAATAGATTTTATGGCTTTAAATAAACTGCAATAAGCCGGTAAAAGTATACTTTGAAATAATTATCAGCGAGTGGTGTATATTATTTTAAAATAATTTACAAGTGCTTCTCCGAGGTAACCAACGTTTTATTTATTTTTTTATTAGCGACTTTATTAGCGAAGACTTAATCTATTTTCTCTTCATGTTATGAGGCTCTATTTTGAGAAAAAAATAATTAAAAATTTATTGTTCGGAAAAATATATGAATTGAGAAAGAGTTGGGTTTAATTACAAAAAACACCTGTAATAAAAAAAATTGTTTTAGGTTTCCAGGTGGGCAATGTTATGCAGGTGAGCACTACGAATGAATATCACAATGAACATCTTCAAACACATTTTTCAAAGATAGATAGATAGATAGATAGATAGATAGATAGATAGATAGATAGAAATTGGATGGAAAAAATAATGTCGATATTAAGACAGACAAATATGAACAGCAGTTACATTGATATGTATAAATAGATATATTTTTAGCACTATAAATATTATTTTAGTGGATGCTCTTATAAGAGTAGTCAATCTGTTTATTTATAAAGCATTACATTTATTTTCCTCTCGCGGCCTAAACTTTCGAGAAATCTTATAAGAAAAAAAAATTAAATAGATAGATAGATAGAGATGCAAAAGAAAATCTATGTATTTGTCTCTCACTATATATATATATATATATATATATATATATATATATATATATACTTTCTCACGCTGAATCTGAAAATCAGATCCATTTTTCCCATCACATCTCGTTTTCTCAGTGCAGATAATTTATATTTATCTGTCAATAATCCAGAAACATGTGCCCATTGCAAAATAACATTTGAGCCGAAAAAAATGTCGAGCGGGGTATTAGCAGTAAACTCCTGCACATTTGAAAAAAAAAACACAACAACGTTCACAATAACGTAAAACTTAAACAGCAACTCCAAAATTCGCGAAATGCAACAAATTTTATATATGTATGACTCAAGCACAAAACAACATAATAACCTTAAAATAAATTAACAGACGACAAAAACCTTTTTGCACCACAACATATCGGTAAATACAACAAGGACACATACACACACACTGTTACAGTTTTTTGTGTATATATATAACTAGTGAGCCAACCCAAATGACTTGACTCACTTTATAGTCCACCAATAGAAGGTTAACCAATCAGAGGACGCAGAACATTCAATCCGTCGTGTATAAAGGCGGCCATTTTTGTCTAATCTACCCGAATGTCCAGTCCAGCTTCTCAGGCGAAGAGAAACAGAAAGACGAACTATGCTCTGCTACTTTTACCAAAATATCCATTGCTAACCTGAACAACGCTTTCCTACTGTCTTCGAAATATTCACTGCTAACCTCTGATTCTATACTCGAACACGACCGTCATCATGAACAACACACACACACACACACACACACACACACACACACACACACACACACACACACACACACACACATATATATATATAGCATAGGTAATAAATCCGTTGATATACAATCCAAGTGTATCCTAGTAACGTCAAATATTAAAACTGATCCACAACAGAGCATATAAATTACATAATAATATCCAAAATTATCTCAGATGGGTATGGATCAATTTCAACCAACGTGAAGTACGTCATTTTTATTCAACCCCGTTGTATGGACTTGTCGGAATTAAGGAATTAAAATTTAAGTTTGACAACCGTCAAAAAATGATACAGAATCTGCCCATTTCGACACCTCAGCCAGACAAAATACCCGAGTTGGTGATAAGGGGAGGGCAAAACGTATCAGTCTCAAAGGAAGGGTGTCAACAAAATCAAACTTATGAACCATGACCGTGGTTGTATGAAGAACGAGGTATTGATTTCAAACTAAGAACGGGGCGAAAGGTAGTTTTCTATACGAAAAAATATTTCCACTTAAAAAATAACAAATTATATTTACAAAAATGGTACATTAACAAGATTAAGAATATGTCATATTTAGAAAATTTATAACTTTAAAAGTAAGTTAAATAAATACGAAAACTAAATAAAATTAAGTATATATATATATATATATATATATATATATATATATATAAAAAGGACAAAGAAAGAGTTTCTTAGAACAGGGGATAATTATGAGATTAAATTAAATGGGGAAGAGATAGAACCATAAAATTTAAATATAATTATACATTACACATTTAAAGAATAAGGGAATTAAGACGTAAAAAGAACATCTAAATTATTATAGAAGTTTAATTCTGCTTCTATGTCGGCATTTTAAAACTTCTTCATTTCTTTGATTTAATAGTTTGCTTTGATTATTGTATTTTATTATTTTGATTTTTTCCTTATCCTTAATTTTCTAGGCTATTTGTGGGATCAGACATTGCTCCCTGGGGGAAATGTTTGCTTGGTATATTGCCCTAGTAAGCCTGCATTTGCCCTCAACTGGACAACTTTCTCTATCTGTGCAATTACCAGGAACGCCTGTTTTGTGGAGCCTCTTCCCCTTGAGACTGTTGACTTTCGTCCTCCACTTACCAACAACACGGGCATTTCGTCTGGCTGAGTCGTCGAAATGGCTAGGTACTGTATCATTTTTTCGAGTGCTGTCAAAGTTAAATTTTAAATCTCTTATTCCGATACGAATACAGTCTATACACCGGGGATGAATAAGACTGACGTACTTCATGTTTGTTGAACTACATATATCCCCATACGAGGTAATTTTGGATTTTGTTATTCAAGATATATATATATATATATATATATATATATATATATATATATATATATATATATATATATCTTAACGTGTGCTATATTCATGGCGTCAATATCAGAGATAGGGCGTATGTAAATATAAATATAAAAGTGAACATTGAAGTCAACACTGAGAAGCGATAGTCTGTTTCATGCTGGACACAATCGTCAGGCCGCGAATGCTGGATTTTTCCTTGACTATCTATATATATATGGGTCAGTGATGCATTTTGGGTAATCTATTCTGGCAGTTATTTTTGCGGTAGAGGCTTCATTGCATATTTATTTATTTATTTGTTTGGGTTAATTTATTTTTCTTGCTTATTTATGCTTATTTTATTAGTTCTAATCGTTATTTTAGCGGGCGCGATTTGTTTACTTGTTTACTTATTTATTTGGACTATATATATATATATATATATATATATATATATATATATATATATATATATATTACATTTTCTTACATTATATATATATATATATATATATATATATTACATTTTCTTACATTATATATATATATATATATATATATATATATATATTTTGCTCACACTTAGTACATATATATATATATATATATATATATATATATATATATATATAATGTACTAAGTGTGCGCAAAAATGTTCAGCGAAAAAAATGTAGCTTTAAAATATGCTCTTTGACGCACATGTCCAAATAGAGAAGCACATCTTTGCCAAACAGAATATCTGATTAAGTGGCAGTATTAAAAACTACGCCCAAACAAAAGCAATATTCGGCAATGCAGACTGGTAATTACTCGAGACAAGATGCTTGCCTCTTGCGATTGACTATAATATTGAATATTTCATTTCCAACGTTTTTTTCGTCTATGAATCAGGCTGAATTATTTCCGCGACAACATCGATTAAAGAAGTCATCCGTCCTAAAAAATAATAGATGTAGAACGTGGAATAGAATCAATTAAAACATTAATGTCTTAACGAGATACAAACGCAGCAAGGATCATTTAGTTGTGATTTTTGTAAAGAATGCAACCAGAATGTTTGTCCTTGGAGTAGTGGTTAACGATCTTCTATATCAGATTAATTATATCGAGTATTAAATCTGCAACAGACGTATGAGAAGGATTGGTCTTCGTAATAGGTTTATTTAATATCTAGGGCACGACCCTCCTAAGGAAGTAGGTGTTCATACCAGGATTTATTATCGGTGTGTGCATTCTTAAAAATGTTATATATGCAGATGACAATATGTTGATAGTAGATACTAGGAAAACTAGAGAAACTCCTAGAAAGGAAAGAGAAGCCATAAAATATGATTATTTATCAACAGTAAAATGACAGAAAATATTGCTCTTCGCGTTTGCTCTAGTTGCGGACAACGAATTGGAAATGTGAAAATCAAACAATTACAGTAATTTTCCGGCTTCCAAGACCGTGAAAAATACGTGGGCGCCTTTCAAGACGAATGTAAGACAACGCACAGGCTTCAGTAAGCTTGGACGGTTACCTAATTGGTTTGACTATTAGTGACGTGGATTTGTATGTTCAGTCATTACACTATAATGTTTGCTACCTATCTAATTCAACCGTTTCTATTATGTAACCCACTTAGCTGTTACAATTATTTCCAAGAAAATAGATATTCCTGGAGCCGAGTCACAAACTTAATCATGGCCTGTTTACTAGCAACGGTGGTAGACTTGCTACTATTGACTAGTATATCATTGCCATACAAACAAAATCGGACGAGTGATTAATATAAGCAATACGTGGCGTCAGTATGTTATGGACGCATGGTGA